CTCGAACCTCAAACTCGCCGCCACGGCCAAGCACTACGCCGGCTATGACATCGAGAATTGGCACAACCACTCCCGCCTGGGCAACGACATGAACATCACCCAGCAAGACCTCTCCGAATACTACACTCCCCAGTTCCACGTCGCCGCCCGCGACGCCAAAGTCCACAGTGTCATGTGTGCCTACAACGCCGTCAACGGCGTCCCTGCCTGCGCCGACTCTTACTTCCTCCAGACCCTCCTCCGTGACACCTTCGGATTCGTCGACCACGGCTACGTCTCCAGCGACTGCGATGCCGCCTACAACATCTACAATCCCCACGGATACGCCTCCTCCCAGGCTGCCGCTGCCGCCGAGGCCATCCTCGCTGGCACCGACATCGACTGCGGTACCACCTACCAATGGCACCTGAACGAATCCATCACTGCGGGAGATCTCTCTCGCGATGATATCGAGAAGGGTGTGATCCGCCTCTACACGACCCTCGTGCAGGCCGGATACTTCGATTCCAATACCACCAAGGCGAACAACCCCTACCGCGACCTCACCTGGTCCGACGTCCTCGAGACGGACGCATGGAACATCTCCTACCAAGCCGCGACGCAAGGCATTGTCCTTCTCAAGAACTCCAACAACGTCCTTCCCCTCACCGAAAAAGCTTACCCACCATCCAACACCACCGTCGCCCTCATCGGTCCCTGGGCCAACGCCACCACCCAACTCCTGGGCAACTACTACGGCAACGCTCCCTACATGATCAGCCCCCGCGCCGCGTTCGAAGAAGCCGGATACAACGTCAACTTCGCCGAGGGCACCGGTATCTCCTCCACAAGCACCTCGGGCTTCGCTGCCGCCTTATCCGCCGCCCAGTCCGCCGACGTGATCATCTACGCCGGTGGTATCGACAATACCCTTGAAGCGGAGGCACTGGATCGCGAGAGCATCGCGTGGCCGGGTAACCAACTGGACTTGATCCAGAAACTCGCCTCGTCGGCCGGAAACAAACCGCTCATCGTCCTCCAAATGGGCGGCGGACAAGTCGATTCCTCATCCCTCAAGAACAACACGAACGTCTCTGCACTCCTCTGGGGCGGATACCCCGGCCAATCCGGTGGCTTCGCCCTGAGAGACATCATCACCGGAAAGAAGAACCCTGCGGGCAGACTAGTCACGACACAATACCCAGCCAGCTACGCGGAGGAGTTCCCCGCGACGGATATGAACCTCCGTCCTGAGGGAGATAACCCCGGCCAGACATACAAATGGTACACCGGCGAAGCAGTGTACGAGTTCGGCCACGGATTATTCTACACGACCTTCGCGGAATCATCCAGCAACACCACCACGAGGGAAATCAAACTCAACATCCAGGACATTCTTTCCCAGACACACGAAGACCTGGCGTCTATTACGCAGCTCCCTGTGCTGAACTTCACTGCCAATATCAAGAACACTGGAAAGGTGGAGTCGGATTACACCGCTATGGTGTTCGCGAATACGTCTGATGCAGGCCCGGCGCCGTATCCGGTGAAGTGGCTGGTCGGATGGGATCGGCTTGGGGATGTGAAGGTCGGGGAGACGAGGGAGTTGAGGGTTCCCGTTGAGGTGGGAAGCTTTGCAAGGGTGAATGAGGATGGCGATTGGGTATTGTTCCCGGGGACGTTTGAGTTGGGGTTGAATTTGGAGAGGAAGGTTCGGGTCAAGGTTGTGTTGAGTGGTGAGGAGGAGGTGGTGTTGAAGTGGCCGGGGAGGGAGGAGTAGATCATCGCTCCAGGTGATTGATTATCGTCATCATGATGATGTATATAGCCCCTAACTATTTATTATCAATTGACATTAAATTATTAAGGCATATAGAGCTTGCTCTCCATCGTGAGCGAATAAAACGAGAATTTCATAAACTTTACTTTAGACTAGCTAGCTATAGGCTATTCACAATTAGCCGGTTCTGCAATATGGCTTACTACCCGCCCTGCACGCTGTCCTGGCCAGGATCATCATCACCAACTACTCTTGGCATAAAAGGTAAACAAAGGCCTCGGACCAGGATCCGTCCGACTCAAAAGGAGTAAATCCCTCGTTCGCATACTGGCCACATGAACCTGTTGCTCCGAGACCTCTTCAACCGGGTCTTCAAATGCCCAGAAGACGCTTTCTTCCTGGTATCCGTCGGAGACGCGCTGGCCGCTTAGACATACGAATGATGTACCCTGTCTTCCGAAGGAAACAACCGTGTTTCCGAACCCGGTGTCGAAGTCGTAGGTCTGGAATTTGAAGAGTGTGCGGGCGTTTCCTTGGAGGGTTGGGAGGGCGACTGTAGAAGGTATATAGCGTTAGCCGGGTATTTCTTGACAGAATGTATATATGATACGTAAGTTTTGGGGAGGGGGAGCTCACTGTCGCTGAAGCTGCCGTTGTCGAGGGTTCGTTCTTGGGCGATCATGGTTACTGTTCTGATGGCCAGCTTTGGGGGTTGGGAGTTAGTAGAGGCTTTTGTGGTATGGTTGGTTGTGTGCTTACCAGGACTAATTTCTTGTAGTCCTCTGGAATGGGATATGAGATTGGGGAGTTTATTTCTTCGGGGTTTTCGTTGATGGCTTGGACCTTTTTTTCCTGTCAGTAATGGAATGATAGCCATAGGATATTTTTGTGGATGCGCAGGCTTACTTTGGTGCGGATCACGGAGAGTATGTTGGCCCCTTCTTCGTACAGCTCGGCTTGTTGCTCTCTGCCGTTGATGAATTTTGAAACAGGGACTATCATATATGAATGATTAGTAGATGGCAGCAAGCGATGATTCTTGTGGAAGCTATACTCTTCCTGACAAGCTCAAGGTACGCGTCGTACTGCGTAAAGTCTTCGAATAGGTACCAGCTCTGGTTCAATTAGTTTCATTCCATGAATTATCATCCAGAGTAGGTCTCACTCTCTGATTGGCAAAAGTATAGTCAAAAGGCGTGAATGCATTGTTGAAATTCGGCACGTTGGTGTATCTCCACAGAAGTGCACTGCGTCGATGTAAGTATCCTGTAACCCAAAAAAACTTGAGAAGGAGAACTCACAATCGTCTATATCTATGCTTTCCCTCCCTCAACTCCTGATAGAAGTTATCCGCGCCTTCCTTGATCGCAAAAAGAGGCGAGTCTTCACCGTCGTGTGGTTCTGCGTGGATGACTCCAGATCGGCCTCCGCCTCCAGAGGTATGGATCCAGACAGTGACGCGAGAGTGTCTGTTGATGGTCTCCACGGCACTTCTCACTTCGTTTGTGACAGAGCCGGTGACTCCGTACATCGAGAAAGCAACCTCCGATCTTTCAGAAGTGTCAGGAGGGAATAAGTTGAAGGATGTAGTGATAAACTTACGCCTGTCTGATCTCTTGACTGGTGGATTTGTTGACTGCGGAAATGGAGACGCGAGCAAAGTATTGGCCACCTCGAATGAAATCTGCCACGGCTATTTAGCATCTACCCAGTGGCTAGAACATAGTACATTGTCTATCTTACCTGCAATAAAACGGTCTCCGTACAACTTATTCGGAGTATCGGTGTTAATCTGATTAAAGGAATACGAATTCCCAATTGATGCTTGCTGTCTGGATGACACCTGGACTTGATAGGTCACCGTACTGCTTTCAAAACTGTGTCGATGAGCATTAGCTGAAATGAATGCCCAAGTCAAGCCAGGACAGATACACCCACCTTAGCCGATCAAGATAGCCAGCGTCGATTTGGGAGGACTGTCCCCAGCCGGAAATAGCAGCGCCAGCACTTATCTCCAAGGACTGCGCAAGTTTTCTGAAAGGGCAGAAGGAAAAGAAGTCAGAATTACACCTCAAACTGAGAAGGTGGGTGTGCAGACGTGTAATCATTGATCCTTTCACTACTATAGAAGAGGTCGTAGGTGACAGACTCCGGTTGGCCGGGGGTGATAGTGACAGCATCTGCTACACCAATTTGTTGAAGGTAGGTATTGTATCTAGATGAGGGATAAATTGTTCAGTATATGAGTAAGGGCACGGTTGTATCTTTGAAGAGGATTGGAATCGATCGTACCCCTGTCCTTGTTGCATGCCATCGAAATATGGAACAAGTTCGGCCATCTTGAAATATCTGGCTGCTTTGATCAGGTAATGGGGTATGAAAGGTCTGAAGATGATTCTCAAAATTGACTGGTAGTTGCATCACATTCCGACCAAATGCTGATGTCTTTATATGCTGAAGCACCAGTGTACGAGCAATCCCCGGACCTATACAGACATCACGCCACTCACAACAAACCCCGATGCAATGTTCTCGAAGATGTAACTTCGTGGTGGCGATCTGCATCATTCAGTTCTCTAAATGAGGCATTTTCTTTGGAGAAGTGGATTCCATCGAGTGACTATGACGACTGTCCATTCGGCGGAGCAAGAGCCATAGAGATCATAATGGCAGTGTCAAGGATACAAACATCGCGAGTACTAAAGCCGATGTCTAGACTCGCAATTGATGTGTGATTCGTTATCGGTGACTCCGAAAAGCCACTGGACAGGCACTGGATTCAGTTGCACGAAGCGGGGAATAATATCGATGAATCTGTAAATCAACTCAAGTGATCAAGGAAACGTTCGGGGAAGAATGGACCTGCCTGTGCTTCAGATAATTTGTTGACATGGACTGTTCGGGAACTGCTCTATAGTACCCCTGCAGTGGCAAATGCATGTCATCAGAGATGCATGAGCTGAACATCGCGCAAACCCCTCCCCCCTCATTTCTGAACGCCCAGCTTGCCCTTCAGCTCGAGGTTCTACTCCACTTTATACTGTGGGAGGGTTACATCGATGAAATTCTTGCAATTGTCTGGCTGGCTTTCTATGATGTTCCTCCGAGGGCAAGGCACGAAGAGACTCGGCGACTGGGAACGGGAAGATATGAGCTGCACAATCCCTGCCACTTCTGCTGTTGCGAATACGTAATGTGATGGATTAGCAGAATCCAGTATCCAGACTTGATTGTGCAGTTAGGCACACACTTACAGATACTAGGCTGGAGGATGACGATGTTGTCCAGACCTCAGCAGCCAGTACCAGAGATGATATAAAGACCCCCTCCGGTCGCTCAGAAGAGAAGTCTACAGAAGCAACTCTTCCTTATATCAAACTCATCGCAAATTTACACAATCTTCTCTATTAAAAACTTATACCACAGCCTCTACCCCCGATCTAAACATGGCCGAACGAGCAGAAGCCCAATGGGTGCACATCCGCGTCGTCAACTCCCTATCCTTCGACACCCTCAATGTCAGAAACACCTGGCTGGGCTGGTAAGTTCCAAAATCACCAAGTTACCCATTTGGCACCAGCTCTCTCTCTCTCCTTCTTCCCTAACACATCGCCAGGGGCAAATTCCACAAAGAAAACAACAAGAGCGCCGAAATCCCCGTCTCCGACATCAACGCTCTCCGGGCAGCTCCTGGCGGGTCCTTCAACGTCTTCGCGTGCGGCAGAGCACATTCGCCCTCTGGCACAGAGGGAAGCTTCGACGTGTTCAATGGAGATGTCCGCGTCGCTTACATCTACTGGGACTGTCCTTGGGGCTCGAAGCGCAACCAGTTCCGTGTTGACAGGTTTGCTGATGATTACTGGGTGGAGACGGGGTATTGGAATCAGTCGGGCGGTGCTATTGGTAGTGTTACGGTGGAAATTGGGAGAAGAGATCGGGCGATTCGGTCGAGTCTTTAGATAGGGTGGATTCTGTGCTTCTTGTCCTGTTGTTGCAGGAGTGGTTGGATTGTTGAGATAATGTGTGTGTAGAGGGTGATAGACGGGTGTGATGAGAAGTATGTGATGCAGTTGAGTCACGATTATCTTCTTGTCATCGATGTAAGAGAAGACCGATTATCGTTTTCACGTCATTGCAACCGATGTTTATAGTGGACAGCACGAGTAAAGAGGTAGAAAATCACAAAATTAGTAGGATCGACTGCATCTCCCCCTCATCGGGATTTGCTCTGCATTAGCACTGAAGTTTGGGGTGAAAGGGTGATATGATAGATTATCAACTAACAGGTATTATAAATAGTGTGGTCGAACATGTTCGAGATATATACTAATAATTGTATTGCCTCATGTGTCCGTGTCATTGTCTTGTTTACTTAGATAACGACACCGAAGTCTTTCGCATATGTTGATAAGTCCGTAGCAGTGCAGTCCGGATAGAGGCATCGACTCCTCGACCACAGCAACAAACACAACTCAACTCACATTACAGCAGTTATAGCAATTACAGTGCACACCCTCCTTTTAATTTCTAGAGCTAAAAATAATTTGAAAAACAAAAACGACGACAGTCGGATTTGAACCGACGCCTCCGAAGAGAATAGATTTCTAGTCTATCGCCTTAGACCGCTCGGCCATATCGTCTTATGATGGAATGTTCGCAAAAATGCTATAAGAGGTCGTCACTCGATGCATCCAACATTTCATTCGGTTTATATCATAAATCATTGATGCCATATTCATACTAATCATATACATCTATGCACTATTTACTCTCCATCATCTCGATCAGTTCCTCGTACTCGCCCGTATTCCGCACCATTTCCCAAAATACGCCCTTTTTCGCGACCAGTCGCGCCGGTGAATCATTCCTATTAGCTTTCAGTTAGTTTCGTTCCTAATTCAAACTGGTGATAAAGGGGTTGGCATTGACGCACTCGATAATTTCCCCATCCGCCATCACCAACACTCGATCATAGTCCATGATCGTCCGCAAGCGATGCGCAATCGCTATGATCGTGCAATCGGCAAACATCGTCCGCAATACCTTTTGCATATGCGAATCTGTTTCGTGATCCACCGACGCCGTCGCCTCATCCAGCAACACCACTTTCGATCGCCGACACATAGCCCGCGCTAGGCTCAGAACCTGTCGCTGACCCTGACTGAAGTTCTCTCCGTTCGCAGCAACCGGCGTGTCCAGCGCCAGCGGCCGCATTGTCCGGCTCTCGCCCTCGCCCTCGCCAGGGACATGGACTGTCGTGCACGCCGATAGCGCCGCGCGCAGCTCGGTCTCGCTGGACTCGCCAAACGGGTCGAGATTGGACTGCACGTCGCCGGAGAAGAGCACCGGCTCTTGCGGAATCAGCGTCACGTTGGTGCGCAGTCGGTTGAGGCGGATCTGGTCAATGTTGACCCCATCAATGGTAACGCTACCGTCGACGATATCGACGAAGCGGAGCAGGGATAGCCCCAGGGTTGATTTGCCGCTGCCGGTCCGGCCGACGATGCCGACGCGCTCGCCTGGGTACGCGACGAAGGATACTTTGCGGAGTACGTCGGGCCCGTCGGGTTGGTAGCGGGCAGTGACGTTGTTGAATTCGACCCGGCCGGAGGTTGGCCAGCTGGCGGGTAGAGCGTCGGCTTTGCGTTGCTCTTCTGTTTCTAGCTTCTCCTCTGGCTCGATGTCGCCGTATTCTGTCATGCGTTGAAAGGAGTTCAACTCCACTTCGAGCTCGTTGAGCGTCCGGACTAGCGTCAGAATCGTCTGGCTGAGGCCGATGGCGTTCGTCAGAGAGAATCCCACCAGACCTGCTGATCCGGACCAGAAGTATGCTACGCAGCCGGCTGCGGCTGCTACAGACGCGGCGCAGAAGTCTGTCCGGACCGAAACCCAGCGGTTGCAGTTGTATTGTGCCTCGGAGGAGCGGGCGTGTACTGCCAACTTCTCGGCCAGCAGGTTCTGGAACACCTGGTCCATGCCGTGCCGAGCTCGGATCACGCTCAGTCCTGACAACGAGTCGGTAAAGTGTGAGAAAACAGGGGAGTAGTTGATAGAGGTCAGCCGCTTGATCGATACTTGAGCGCGTGTGTACATCTCTCCGATGACGAACCCTGCAGCGCATATAACGGCCGCCGGGAGAGCAAAAATGGGCATGATGGAAGCGACACTGGCAATTCGAAGCAGAAATCGTAGAGTATTCTCGATGGACATCCGCAGCCACTCAACAAGAACTGTGTCCAGAGACCGTGTGTCGTTTCCGAACCGGTTGATGGCGCGCCCGATCGGATTCTGATCGAACCAGGCAATCGGTGCAGACAGCACGGCCGTCACCAGCCGGTGGTGCGTCTTCTTAGCAGCCACCCAGCTGCCGTACTGATAAATAAGATTGTTACATAACTGCAAGGTCAAGAAGGTGATGATGCACGCTGCGTATATACCCAGGTAGAACAACGTGTTGGGATGCTCGTACTTGTCGTACGCCCCAGTCCATATGGATAGCCAGTATGTAATGGCAAAGTAGGCAAATTGCACGGAGATGGTTGCAATCACAACCAGTGGAACGTAGGAAGCGCCACCAAATAGCATCATATAACGAAGAGCTGATCTGTTAGCAATGCTCAAAGCCATCTGAAGTCCTCGGGTTCTTACCTAGCGTGCGAGGCACTCTTCCCGTGGCGGACGTCTCCTTAGCTATGCGTTCCTCAGCAGGCGGTTGCTTCCCAGCAGGAGCAAGTGGCGGAGGCTCTGACGGGGATTCCAGAGCTTCGTCTGCCACGCGCACATTGCTCTCCGACACGGAAGAGTCTGTATCGGTGCCCGGTGTGGTGCATCGGGAGGACATGAGAGAAAGTGTAGTTTTGGAGATAGCTCGAGCGGGGACAATCCTGCCATGCTCCAACCGGATCACCATGTCGGCATCCTGCAAGGCGGCTGGGTAATGGGTGATTAAAACGACCGTGCGGTCCTTGAGTAGACCGCTGCGGAAACACTTCTCATAGACAAGACTAGTGGTATGGGTGTCGAGAGCGGAGAATATGTCATCGAATAACAGCGTGTTCGATGGCGAATACAATGCCCTTGCCAAAGATACTCGCTGCTTCTGACCGCCGGAAAGCGAGGTTCCTCGCTCTCCCACCATGGTGAGGTCGCCTGCCGGAAGCTGTTGCAGGTCTTGGGTCAGACCACTGGCTTCGATGGCCATGGCATAGCGGGCTTCATCGAACGGGCTATAGAAGACGATGTTCTGACGAATTGTATCGTTCTGAAGCCATGGTGCCTGCGGAACGTACGCTACATCGCGCGGGCAAGTAGCAGTTCCTGATTCCATCACTGTCTCACCCAGGAATGACAAGAGCAGCGATGTCTTTCCGCAGCCAGTGGGGCCCGTCACCACATTGAGAGCGTTGGACTTGAAGCGGAGAGTGATATCCTGCAGCCTAAAGGCAGCAATGGGGGTGCGTCGGAAGATGGCATTCTTAAACTCTAACGGGCCGTCTGGATGCCGCTTGATCTCACTAGCAGTGTCAAAGAAGCGGTCGACACGACGCAGCGACTCTGATCCTTGCGCGGTATAGCGGCTGATGTTGGACAACCAGATAAACTGAACGCGCAACGTTTCCATGATAGACAATGAAGTAAAGGCGACAGGTGCCCGCAAAGGAAGATCAGTAAACAATATATAAACAGAAAACATGACTAGAAGACTAAGGAGCGGCAGCAGCTCGCCGCCCATGGAAATAAGAGCCACAAATACGCTGCGTCTCCACAAATGGCGCTGCTCTACACGGCGAACGTCGTTGATGTTGTTCATCGCAGCATGCTCCCACCCAAAGTACTTCAGAGTGCGGATGGACCCCAAGTACTCGGAGATCTTGGACAGCCGAGCATCCGTAGCCTGCATAACGGTGCGTTGGATGCGGGAGACTTTCCGCGACGCCAGGGCAGGCAGCGGAGACAAACACAGCAGCATGAGAACACCAAACAGCGACGGCCATCCTAGCATCTGATACAGAAACACTAGAGCCAAAGTAGTCGAGATCGGGCCTGCGGTGGCTATATAGAAGATATCACGGGAGTTATAGATAGCGTCAACATCGTAAGACATCAAGCTGGTCAGATTGGCCTGGCTTGACTTGGAGGCACCCTTGGACTCAGCCCGGTGCTTCGACTTGGCATGCTTGCCTGAAGAGTGGCCCACAGAGTCATCGTAGATGTACGAGCGCATCGCAGTCTGATAGAGCTCCTGGACTAGTGACACATTCACACGAACCAGTAGTCGGGTTGCCGTAAAGATATACTGTTGGTAGCAGAGCGAGCGTGTCGCCGGACCAGCAAATAGTAGTGCGATCCACAATGCAGGATGGAGCACAGCACTGCTTGGGTTCTCCAGATAGGCTAATAGCCGCAACATGGAGTATGGCGCAAGAAAGTCCACCACCGCCGTAAGGGCCGCCCAGAACATCATGGTTTTAATTTCCGTCTTCAGCATGCGACATAGAGTACGGAAGGTTTTGCCGCCTTTGAGCCGCTGCTTCTTAATCTTTTCTAGCCACTTCAATGGCTCATCGTATGACGGCAGTGGAGGCAGATCATCCAAAGTCAGATCCCTCTGACAGCCTCGCAGGATCACATGGGTGATCCACTCATACGAGCAGTAGTAGGAAAAGAGAGAGCATGTCTCTTCTGGAGAAGCCTTCTCTTCAACCACTAAATCGTCCGTCTCTGCGTTCTGAACAACCGAGCGTCGTGGGCGTGGCGTAGCCGCTGCAATTGCCACAACCGCCGCCAAACAGGCCACAATAGCAACTCCAATGGAGGTTGGCCTATAGGTAGCTCCGATCACCATCATGGGTACTATATCCTGCACCACGGCCAGAATGAGAGCCGTTGTCACCATTGCATTCATATGCCAATACATATGACGTCGATAGTCATAGCTCTTGATGCAGAGCCGGCCGATACCCAACAATACCACGTAGGTCAAAAGGGCGGACCGTTTCCAACTCTCACCATTGTGTATGTCGACCCAGGTGAGACAACAGGCCGCAATAGCGACAGCCAGGTGTGCGAACGCGAACGGCAGAGATACCACAATTTCGGACTGATCATGCGGGGTAGTCTTCGGCGATGGTGATTTCTTCCGGTAGGAACGGATATAGCGCAGACTTATCGACAGCAATACCACAATCCATGATGCTAGGATCGCCGCTAAGTGCAGGTTGCCGGATCCAACAAAGGCGGACGCCTTCCGAGTCCGATATTGCCATAATTCCCTAAAGCAG